GTTAAGAAATATTGGATTGACATACATACAAATTGTACACAAAAGATTATTGAGGTTACTGTGGTACAGAAAGGAAAAATACTTCTGAAAGCACTCTCATTTTGCAACTGTACATAATGATGCTTTCCTCTCTGAAAGAGGAGAGTGTTCCATCCTAAACCTGATTTTGTCATAGTTTGTCCTGAATATTTTTTAAGTTAATGTTAACTAAATAAAGACAATTTTATTAACTAGCAAAGCTTCTATTGATAGTACGGAGCTGATAAGCCATAGTTTTTGAAAACTTTGATTTAAGATTTATTATTCACCCACTCTTCATTCCCAAATGAGATAATATATAGCTATTTTTATTCTTTCTATTAGTTTCGAAACTGACAATCCAACATTCACACCCACTTCATGCCATGATTAGTCAACTGTGTGGAAGTCAGAAAGGAGCCAGAGTTACAACTTCTCTTTGTATGTCTCTTTTTTTATAAATGCACAGCTGCTTTTGTCATGAAATGGACAACATGGATTATGAACTATGATCGTTCCCTCACTTCTGTGTGCACAGTTGTGTAGGGCTCTTTGGTGTTTTTAAAAATGTCTTTGCTGCATGAAGAGATTAGCAGTGAAACTATTTTATAACAGATTTTCTCATTAGGTCTTGTTAACTTGTAGTGAAAATGATTTTTGATGATGATCCCTTGGAGCTAACTTAAGTCATCATGTGGGAACCACTGCTCAGTGAAAGAAATCTTTGTTGTAGTAATATCATTCATTCAGTGACAAAGCTGTAAAGGCATGGGGCTTAATACTGTGGATAGACATTACTGGGTCACATATTCATACAATATATAAGTTCGGCCCTTTTATAGGTTTGCCAGCAAACAGTAAAACAAAATAAAGTAGAGGATATAATTTGTATCAGTGAGTGAAGACATTAAACCTCATGGACATGGACAAAGTGTACTGTTTGTGTACAAAGTGTACTTGCCTCAGTCTCACACTGAGCCAAGTTGCCACTTCAAAACTGTGATTCATCATGATGTTCTGTTTAACTTGAAGAAACATCATTGCCTGAAGCTGAAGTAATCAGTAAAGCAGGTGGGACAGTGACATTGTCAGGTCTCAAGTCTTACCATAGAACTCCCAGTTAAATTCAGTCCAAGTATTTGAGTATTAAAGGAGACATTTTATTCTCATTTTCAGGTTCATGCCTTTATTTTGTGTGTCTAAAGAAATAGGTTTACATGTTAACCACATTATGTTTCTCATACTGCCCATAGCTGCAGCACCTCTTTTCACCCACTGTCTGAAACGCTCTGTTTGAGACTCCAGTCTGCTCTGATTGGTCAGCTACCATGAGCCGGAGCAGGCATCGCCCTCCATCTTCCACATCAGCCCTGCTGGTGTTTTTACTGGCAGCGACTCACTGTAACTGGGGGCGGGTGTCTGAACCGTAAATCGAGAAATGAACAATATTGACAAGTATTCCTCAGGTAAATACTGTGTGATAATTGCATTACGCACTTTCAGCAAACATAATGCCACTTTACATTTTTAACAATAAAGCAAAATAATAATCAGAATGGTGGCGCCCCAGTAGTTTAACTGATAGAGCACTTCTACTATGTAGGGTTGAGTCCTTACTGCTGTGGGCCGGATTCAAATCCACCTTGGGGCTCATTACCCCTCCTGTCCCTCTTCTGCTCTTCCAATTAAGGCATAAAGCTTCCAATAAAGGCAAAACGCCCAAGAAAATAATCTTTTAAAAAGAATATTAAATAAATAAATAAAAATAAACCATTATTAATAATACAATTGGCTGAATAATTTATTTTCCCTATGCCAGCTTTGCACAGCCAGACACAGGGTCCAAACAACCAAGCAGACTCTGGTTTAATTGTACTAGTCTACTTTAGTCCTTTATCAGTTTTAGGATATACAATAACATGGACAGACTGACACAGCACACAACTACGTTGCATTTCAAAGCAAAGTATTTCTTGTGTGGGTACACTGTGTTTTTCCCCTCTCATCTCTCACAACTCTCTCTCCTACTCTTTCTCCCCATGAGTGTGGGCTTGTGAGAGAATGATGAGCAGAAGCACATTATCATGATTGTTAATCTGTGTTTGGAAGGATATCAACTCCTTTCAAGCCCAAAGACTAAAACCAAGTTAGTTGTTGGTGTTTACATGACAGTACAGTTCCAAGAGTTTAATTGATTCATTTATTTTTTGGGATTTGGCAAGTCAAATGAGACTCAAGACGTCTACAGCTATGATATATTTTTAAAAACTACATATAGGCCTAGCACTACAACAAAACAATACAAAGGGTTTGTAAGATGGTGTGGGAATTTGTTTAGACTGCACAACATTTAAACAAGACATTTAAAGCTAGCTAAGAGTCTACAGCCATGCTAGCGGCTCTGTGAGAATGTGGGAATCCTTAAATCAGCAGGATTCATCAGCTTTTTCTCAATATACGGGTAAAGCTTTTTTATATGAATTAGTGTTTTTTTCAACAAATAAATGCATGAGTTTGCCTTTTCCTCCATTAATAAAAAGTTGTTGTTATTTTTTTGCTGTTAAAGTTAAGATAAACTGAACGCTGAATTTTTTACTTATAATCTTGACAGTGTGTGTGCCACACCAGGGGGCTGCAACCTTTAAACTATGAGTGCTAGAGTACTTACAAAATGGTGTCCAGAGCTACTTCTTTTTTCCCTCTTGATTTTAGGAGGAGACAAGCTTGTAGACATCTAACTATTTTATCTATCGTAGTCTTTATGTATCTGGATCTTCATCTATCTAATCTATATCGGTAATCTAGTCTGTCTATCTAGTTCTAATCTACTATCTATCTATCTATAAAGGAAAGTTTGGTTTACTCGTCAAACAAAGTTCCTGCCTCTATTGGCACAATCAGTTTTTAGGTGTGCCCCCCCCCCAATAGTGGCTTTAAACAAACCAGCTAGTTGAGTTTGAAGAGTTACCAAATGCACAGCTTGCATTGTTTTGATGCGAGATTGTTAAACTCTGGAAACATGGTAATTTGCATTAGAATTTTAATTATCCTTTGTAAACACTTTATCATGCATAATATTTTAAATCCAGAAGCAGCCACCCACCTCAACTGCGTAGAAAGATGGCTACAAAATGTCCAAATGTGTGTTTGAGTTGTGACCATCTGAAGCAGAGGTCAAAGTGCTTGCTTGGGGACCAAGTCATTTCCAATATCACGACAAGTTGAATTATTAAGGAGGCTACTGCAAGAGATGAATACCACTCCTTATAGTCCCTTACCATTCGAAGAGTGCACAGATGGTCCTTTTCATCAGTTGAGGTGGCCACAGAAGGAGCTTATATGTGTCTATATGTGGGTGTGAGATAAACTAATGCATGTCTCAGCCACCAGGATGTAATTGGCCTATTTGTGCACCCTGCCCTTTACTGATAGTGAAATTTCCTCTTCCAGTGGCCCCCTGCTGCTGTGCTGTCCCACTTACAAATTCCTGCTGGACTCCTGTCAGCAATCCAACTAAATAATCGGCTATCAAATCTCTGAAGGTAAGAACGTACATCTGTGCTGTGGCGGCACACCGGTGAGAGGAATCTCTTCATCTGTCAAGTCACTGTTAGTCATCACCGGATCAAGAGAGCCGCATCTTTGATTAGAAAAAATCAATGTGTACACTGCGGAGGCTTTTCTCTGTGGGCTCATAGTGTATTGAAAAGAAGCATATCTGACAAAGACATCTACAGCAGCAAAATATATCCCCGCCTGGACCTCTTTTGTTGCACTCTATCACATAACAGAGTCAGAAAGAACTGTCGAAAAGTCAAAAGCAGGCATCTGCCTATACCAATCTCAAGTAAACATGACTCTTAAGTCAAGGTTTTTTAAGTGTCTCTGGTTATTCTCTTTTTCTTTGTGTCATCAAAACATGACATGTTGGCATCACTAGGGAAAAGAAAAAAGATGTAGGGCAACAGTAAACACACCTCAAGCAAATGCAACTGTCTCAATAGATGGCCAGCCTTGGCATTGAGCTCTGCTGACGTATAAAAGCTAAAGGAGACTGGCAGCCAAGCACGGAGAGGGTGCAGAAAAAGAGAAATCTCTGTGTGAAAGACATTACATGGAAAAAAAATTGACAGCAGGTGAGGGTCAGGGGTGTTTAAAAGAGAAAGAGAGGAGGATGGTAAGATAAAGGGAGGTGGGGTTGGGGATGATATGCTCCTGGGAAACAGGGCAGGGAGGAGATTGAAGAGTATCCAGAGGGTTCCTATGACTCACTGACACCTCTACAAGACTGGACTTTGACAGGCATCTACACACACACACACACTGTAACACAGCTCACATGCAAATAACTGATCTGCAAAAACACACACAGCAGGGCACATGTATACTGTATATATACTGGTAAGAAAATCTAACAAATACATTCTCTCCCTCACACACACAAACACACACAGACAAAAAAGTTCAGTTTTTCATGGGAAAAGAAGTGAAGGAAAGACAGAAAACTGGAACAGGGAGAAAAGAAAATAAGTGGGAGGGAAAAAGAGAATGCAAAGAGAGAGTGTTCATGAGAGAGAGAGAGAGGGAGATGAGATGAGGAGGCGGAGAGATGAGAGGCGAGGGAGGGAGTAATGTAGACAGAGAGGGTGGAGGAGAGAGGGATAAGCCACACTTGGATGAAGGATTCTAGTGGAGCGTGGAAGGCTCTCAAGTGTTGGATCAAGTAAACTACAGGACTGTGGTCCTTCGTACTGACACTCATACCGGACGGAAGGGCAACTGAAAGAGAAGTAGATGGGACCAGGAGGAACACCAGGCCCAAGGCTGACATGGACTGACATGACCTCTCCATCTGGCTGTTTAACCTAATCTGATCCTCCTGAAGACTTGCTGTTTCAGGACAGATGACTGACCACTGGGACTGAAATCCGGCAGAAGTTGGAGGGAGTTCACTCATAAAGTTGGATACCACTAAGGGCACTATGGATGTATACAAATGTTTAAGTTTACTTTTCTTCACTCTTACTCCACAAGGTATACCATTTCCCTTCCTGTCAGTTAGTTGTAGTAGTTTATCTCACGTTTTCTTTATCAACATAAGGGACTGTGTGGAAATTATTGGGGCGTGAAAAGATGGGGTATCACAAAAAGTGTATGTACTTTTCATTTTTGCTCATAAAAGTGTAGTCT